TGCCCGAGGCTGCCACGCAGTCAGCACTCTCTCTATCTCTCTCTCTTTCTCTCTCTCTCTCTCTCTCATACTGTGGCTCTTTCTTCAGCTTTGCTCCTGCTAACCCAGGTCAGTAATTGGAAGAGCTGCAGCGATCCCTGCAAGCTGGCACTGAAAGGAATGATACAACCATAACAATCCTTGCACCCTTTCTTTCCAGCACCCAAGTCATTCTTCATGGAAAATAATACAAATTATGCATTTGTTTTTGTGTTAAATAATGTAGGGAAAGCATACTTGAATGACAGTGATAATTGCACACAAATCCTTTCTATCCACCAAGACTTCTCGAAGGCCCACTGAAGCGCAGCAGGAGCAGCATGATCTTCCCCACTTTTATTTTTATTTTTTCCTTCTTTTTCTTTCAGGCGTATGAAGCAGAAGCCACAGTATGCCAGAACAACATTTCCTCTTCAACCACTTCCTTTTTCCCCACAGATCCATGCTTGAGCCCTTTGGATTACCTGGGAGGCAGCTGCGGACCTCTTGCTTCCCAGTGCATGTGTCAATGTAATCACAAGTTCTTTCCTGCCAGCAGTCCTTGCTCCCTTCCCTATGTTAACGTCTCCTCCTGCTTATTTTTAAAAGCTGCCTACTTCTCCACCACCTACCATGTGCAGCACAAGGGTCTTGTTGCAGGGGTTAGAAATAGTGACAACTTAAGAAATAGTGACAACTTAAATGACAACTTAGTGACAACTCAAATAAGTAAATTAAAAGTAGTGAGAGGAAAAGACAAATACCAGTTCAATGTATGGAGCTGGCCAGCTTTCTGGCACGGGGAAAATTATTTCTGGGGATTAGAGAGAAGATGAAGATTTTTAATAAGAATACATTTTTTATTAAGTTACGGAGAAGATATTAGTGCTGACACAGCTTCTCTATGTCATACTGGTAAGGAAACTGCCAGAAGCAATGCTGGGTTTTAACTGCAGAAAGCTGGGTGCCTGAAACTCTGTTTCTGTGTTAGGTGCATTAGTTCTGGTACAATGTCAGTGCAAAAACAACTTAAAAAATATGTGAAAGAACAAAAAACAAGTGCTTATAATCATGGGAGCCTAAACTATCAGTGGTCTTGCATGATTTTAGCTATTTTTATACAACTATGAATATTTTTATTCATCTAGAATTCTATTTTTTGCTTCTTTTTTAACATGTGTTTGCTTCTTTGGCATTTATGACTTCAGCAGTTCAACAAAAAGCCACAGGTTTTGCAATAACTTTACAGTTTTGTTTCTGGTCTTTCTAACTCCTTTCTAGTGAGCCAGTCTTTTTTTTTTTTTTTTTTAAATGAACTAAGGCTTAGGAAATGCTCATACGATGTGCATCTCAAGGGAAGGGGCATCTCTGCTGATCTACAGCATGGAAATTGTTTAGCCTTTGTGGTTTCTGAAAGATGTTTATAGACGAAATGGAGCTCAAAACGCAGCCTAATCCACAGTGAAATATTACTTCTCCTTTTCTGTCAGCTTTCTTAAACCAAGATTTCGCCTACTCTGTGAACATTCCCTTGAAGAGGGCAGCTTGGATGTCTTCCATGTCCTAACTCTGATTTGTGGCAGCTAAGATCAAGTGGGAATAGAGCTTGTTACAGTAATCCATCAGTGGTATAATGCATGTAGGAACATCCCAAGGAGGAAGACCTTGGGCGTCATGGGGAAGGTTAAGGCTATAATTTCTCCTAATGTGATTTTGTCTGGCCTTTCACAATTTCATTCTCTTTGGGCAGGGCCTCTAGAACAGCAAACCACAGACTGAAAGATCGTACTCAGTTTTGTATCATCTCTGACCTAAAATTTTTGTTTAAAAAAACAACAGCATTGGGTTAAGCTTTCTTCCACTTTCTAAGACTGAAAAATAGAAGATTCACTTAAAAGTACACAGTAAATAACGCTGTGGATTTTGAAAGACAATGGATTTCTTGTTTTACAGTAGTTTTCAATTTAGTGATTAACTTGGTCACAGTCTAAAAAAATGAAATAACTTCTTAACAAAGAGTGGAAGCAGGAAGTAAGAAACCAGTATACCTAAATGTTAAGAGATGAGAAATCTCTCAAAACAAAAAACAACGTGCCCCACGCCCCCCAAAAAAAAAAAACCTCCAAACTCCAAAAATGATTCTTCCTGAGAAACCAATGTCAGGAAAGGCAATAAAATGAAGCCCAAACATAGGCTATACAAGAAGAAAAATAGAAGGGCAGAGATGGAATCCAAAGAGCAGATATCTAAGGATAAAAAACAAACCCCACAGTTTCCTTTATAGCATCCAAAATAAGAAAAAAAGGTAAGAGGTCCAGGATCACTGGAGAGGAAAGAGAGAAACGGAGGAAGACAAGATTTATGGAAGGGAAGCAAAATGGCTTCTTTTCATCCAGCTTCACCATCGAGGATGTTGTCGAGAAACCTATTCTGGTACTTCCTTTTTTTTTTTTTTAAACGTTTATTTTTTAAAAAGATGTGAGCTAATAGCAAATATTCAATTGCAGCAGCAAATATGTTGGAGCAGGAAGGATAGATTACAAACCATCAAACAACTAGAAGCCAAGAATTCTGAAAGTAATTAAAATAAAGCAATTGAGCAGCTAGCTAAAATTAGTATGTTTTCACTACACTTAGCTACTTGCAGAACCAGAGGATAGCAAAAGTTTGAACTGTCTTTTACAAAAACAACAAGGTTGATCGGGGAACTGCACAGCTCTAAGCTTTATTATTATAACCTGGTTTAAAGGATAAATAAAAATATAATAATAAAATATCTAGAAAATCACTATATTCTGAGTATATTCATAAAATGGTGGCTAGATGAGAACAAATAAAGAAAATCACACTTTCAAAATCTTGACAGGAAACCTCAGGGAGTATACTAATGAAGTGTGAGGTTAAGAGAGCAAAAGTAAAGAAGGAATACATATTGATTCTCATCTGGTCACAGGGTTAACAGCAGGTGTCTCATGGTTTGTGCTGCATATTTGAAAAACTATCTGGAAACAAGGAAGCTCACCAGGAGGGTAAAATCTACAGAGGGTGAAAAATTATTCAGAATAGTCCTGACTGGAGAAGATTATTAGGGATTTAAGAGATAAGCAGTTGATCTATTTGAATGGGAAATACTTCAGCAAATCACGGCCATTACTTTAGACTGCAAAGAAATGCACTTTGCAGGCAGTAATTTGGACTCTTCCATGTATGTTGCTGATGGACATGTATGGTCCAACCATGTATGGTTCTAAATTGCCACCATCAGCTCAGAAGAGCACCTGGATGTCCTTGTGAACAGTTTAGCAAAGACTGGTGAGAAAAGGATAGCAGCAGTCCAGCCAACCAAACCAAAACCAAACAAAAACAAGCCCCCAGATCTCTGGATATCTAATAAAAGATATTGCAAATGGAATGGAAAAAAAATACTTAGTAAGCATATAACTGTTATAAAGAAAGGTTGGAATGCTGTGCTTGCTATCGTTTAACCCATCTCAATAGAGAAGGAGGAGGAAAAGTAGGGAAAAGCTTTAAAAAACAAGACACAAAAGGATGATTTGAGACAGAGACATCCGAGACACGGCTCTGAGCACCCCAGTTTACGTTGGGCCTGCACTGAACAGTCTGATAGACCAGATGACCACCAGAGGCCCCTTTTCAACCTAAATTATTCTGCGATTCCACAAAATGGAGAGATAAAAGAAGTTGAGACGGTTCAATATATTCAACCAGTAAATCCTGAGAAGAAAGAGGAAATCAGCAAAGTTAGGCTATGGAACTCATCGCCACAAGAACTGTTTTACGAGCCCAGATAAGATTTAACTTTTACAGAGCTTTACAAAATATTATTTTTCAAGTTTTAAAAATGATTTTCTTCCATTCATTTCTCCATTTTGATGGATCTAAAGAGCTTAGACTATCATGACTTATGAGAAAAAAGATCTTCTAGAGGAGCTCTTCTGCCTCCTTCAAGTTGCTTGTGCTTGCCTTTCCAGCAGCTGGCATTGGCTCTTGTCAGAGTCAGGACACTGGACTAGATGGATTCTTTCTGGTAACTACTTCTATTTTTATGTGAGAAGTGACCACCAAAAACAGTTTTCATGCTTCTTATCTCCTGATGATACTCTGTCACGTTTACTCCATTAATGAACAATATATTGTTTTCAGGTATCATCCATGGAAACTCACACTCTGAGAGCTCGAAGAGTGAAGTTACAGCATTTCTACCATGCATACTAGCAGTAGAAACAAACATTTTGCTTGCCAAGTGTAGCCCACAACCAGGTCTGTACACTAGTCAATGGCTTATTGCTTCTCAAAAGAGGCACTGCCACAAGTTTCCTTCATTTACATTTAACTTTCCTGATTCCTAATAGTCAAAATTATTGTCATAAGGAGGACAGAAAAGGAGTTACACAAAATATTCCAAGGACACTTTTCTTCTGGAGACAATTTTATTACTATGAAAAGGGCCTTCTTCATATTGCCTTTGAAATATATAAAGAGAAGTATTTGCATTAAGAAAACAGATTTGCCCAAATGACAAAATAAAGCTGAAGATATTAGTCAAATAAAGTAATAACCTGAAATTGTTCCTAATAGTTATATACATTAATGACAATAACTACCATTATAGTTGGCTATTTCCATAACTTTTATAGGTGAGGTAAGCTCAAGGAAGCAAGTACTATTGCTTGAAATTCATGGCAGATGTCATAAGATGGTCACCTATTACTATCTGGATGAGGAAACCACCTGACAGACAAGAGACGAAGCTCTAAAGGAAGTGTACTGGCATCTTTACAATTCCATGAGAATGACACAATATACCTATGCTCATAAAAAGTGCTGTGACCAGGGAGGAACAACATCAAAGAATAATAAAAAACTTTAAAAAATAACAACTATTGCACTTTAGACCTTTTATGAACATATACATATATGTTTATATAATATTTATATTTATTTTTCCCCCCCAGACATACCTTGGCTGACCTAGTGATGGCCCCAATCTCTGAATAAAGATCGGTGCTGTCTGGGAACTTCTCCACCACCATAGTGCAGACGTGGTGCAGGAGGGACTGCTTGTGCACCGTGTCCTTGACTTCTGGAACCTTCTCGAGGTAGCTCAACTCAAAAGCTTTGGCCTGCAGAAAGAGGAGGGGGAAATGGGAAGTAATTTTAAATGAAAATATTTACTCCTTCCCCTGCAGATTAGTAGAAGAAAATGTTTAGCAAGAAGGGGCAATAGGGGAAGAAGAATCCTACAGCAAAAACACTTTTATTATTATTATAATTATTTTTAACTTGCTAAAAAGTAGGCCTAAAATGACTCATGAACAGTTCTCGGTTTGAAGGGGGAGCAACAACACTGAACTCGAGGCACTTAAACCAGAAGAGCACCTGGCTCTAAATTTCTTCCACATTATGCTGAAAGAGGCAAAGTACATTTATAAAACAAAATTAAAAGAAATAGTAGGTTCCATTTTCTAAACTGCTTTTCTGGTAAGAAACAAACATGGGGTTGTAACTGCTAACACTTCTGTCGAGGAGAGGCAGGGGCACGGGAGCTTACATTGGTTCCATTTAGAAAGTTCCCAATGGCTAGGAGAGTAGAAAGGATAAATCCCAAGGTTTTGTTATGCTCCAGCTGGTCCATTCCTTCCTTCAGGTCTAAAAGTGGCTCTGCAACTTCCTGCCATGAGAAGAGAAACAAGAAAGTGAAGGCTGTAGTTTGCTATAGTTGCTTCCAGTTTTTAGCTCTATGGTTTAGATAAATGACTGCAAAAAGTTCCTGAACTGGCGTCTTGCAGAGAGCAAACTGGCCATGTGTGCTGGCTTTCTTCCACGTTCCAGCTAATAAATTACATGCAAGGACAGCAAAGAAATGCATAAAATATTTTCCTAATGTAGCTTGTTTATGTATGCAATTGCCTTACTTGTCCTGAGGATATTCTGTGATTCCAAATAGAAGAGGTAGTATCTCTGAAGGGGCTGTCGTATTTGAATTAGACGCATTAAAAAACCACAAACACACTGATAATGAAACTTCTTGCAACTGCTCTTTTTAATCCTTGAAAAACAAAAAAAAAGTTAAGGTCCTGTCTTACTTGACAACTGTAGCCCTGACCCTAAAGCTCTCTCCAAGTGGTGGCCACCTCTGAGTTATGAGTCCTGGAGTGACTTTAAAACTGAAAAAACACCGCAAATATCAAGCTTTACAAAAGTGGTCTCATTTTAATCTTTTAACTTAATGCATCTTCCATCCATACACGTTATCTATGAATAGGTCTGTAAACTGATAGACTTGAAAACATAAATTCTGTTCCATTACCTCGGGAAGTGAACTACACCAGAGAGTTCAAAGAAAGACAGGGAGGCTAATTGAGATGAGTGAGCTTATTTCTATGTCTCTGTGTGAGGCCCAGGGTTATTTATTTTGTATGCGCAATAAAGTACATATAGTTCACATTGTTTCTATCTTCCAAAGTCATCCTAGCCATCTATGAGCAGCATTCTTTTCCCAAATTATTACACTGTTTATGATCTAAGAAGCCAAAATTAAGCTGTTATTCTAGACCAAGAAGCAAAATATTTGAGAACTTTCCCGTCTAGGGGAAATACGATGGCTCATTCAACAACTGTAGTGATATTTTGCAATAAATAAGAGCAGGGAACTGAAGGAAATATGCATTTCCAGTCAATACAGAACAATTGCTCTCTTGAAAAGAAAAGCGTATGGTAAATTTGCAACAAATTAAAAGATGGTATGGAGAGCAAAGTAATTTATACATCAAAAGAAAGGTGCTAAATATTCCAAGACTTTATTGAGTTAAACTAAAATCAATAAAACTGCTGCACTGAGTTTTATGAACTGGTTTACAAGTTAGGGCTGCTTTGCTGCATTACAAAGATGAATCAAACTGCTATAAATTTGCTGTAAATACAGGCTCTTGAACCCTATATTTAAAACTTCATATCCAAGTAAAACTTGCATCGATTTGCAAACTCTCTTAAAATCATTCCTGAAAGGTTGCATTCTGAAGATGGATAAAAAGGTAGAATAAAAGGCTTACAAGCAGGCCATACCATAGCCCTTCACTCAGCTACTCACATGCAAGATATTTAAGCTTAGGCTTTCTTACATATAGTACACGTTTATAATGATGCTTTACTTTTGGTTTTATTGTATCATTGAAAAAGAATCAAATCCAGCATTCTAGACATTGTATAAACAGACACGAGTTATACTTCAGGACCTTTCCAGAATCTCTGGCTGTGAGATACCTGATAATCCCACAGAAATGCTCAACACACACTCAAATTGACTTGGCTACACGTGTGCAATGAATCCAACGTGCCTGGGACAGGGAGGACCTAGCACACACGTTCTGTACAGATGCTCCAGAGTACACAATCCGCTGTACTGGTAATGAATTGAGCTTATTGCACCTATACAAGTTCACATGCGTGCATTTCTGTGAGGTGTAAAACCTTTGATTGGGATGGGAATTTGGAGATGACTAAAATGCAATTTGCCTTATTTGCATATAGTCAAGACTCACCTGCTGTAATTTTCATGCAATTTTAAAAGAATAGAAAGTATCAGGACCCGTATACTGTACAACTTCAGAAAATTCTGATGTCATTTTTTAATTTTCAGACAGTTTAAGCACCACTCAAAAGTGCAATTTTTGAAGATTTATTTCCCCAGCCTACTATCTCCAGGGAGACAAGACTCAGGATTGCAAAAAATCTTTTTGCTCAGAAGAGAAACCAAACCAAACCCTTTTCTCTTCCAACTTAATCATTCTCATTTCTACACCAGTTTATATCCATTTATGATCCTTTAAAGTTGTCAGCAATAAAGATATATTTACCCAGAGTGATCATGAGAAAGAAAGTCTGATTTAGGACAACTAAACATTCTATTCTTCTTTCTAAAACTTTTAAACTCCCTTTGAAATAATGAAATTTGACAGTGTCTGCATCATAAATAATTCAGTACAAAGAACTAGTAGTAACACAATGTCATTTTTCAGGAACAGAGCAATCAAAAGACTGAAAATCAAGATTTAAAGCCGAAACTCTACCTCCTCTGTTTATACCTTTAAAATATGACACCAAAAGACAGTAAGAAAAATTATTGTTCCACTGATGATCTTACGGTAGGCATGCAGTACCTTTTGTACATGTTGACATTTTAAAATATTATACATATGCAATTTTTTAAAACAGATTATTTGGAAAGGGTTTTCCTTTGTTTGTTTTAGATGCATAAATTTGAATATCCAAAATAATGCATCAATATGATCAAAATTCATACAAAACATAAAACCTTCTGCTCAAATGGCTTACAGTGAAAGCTGCAATTGTACTTTAACAACCACTGGTACGCAGTCTGTAAATAGCAAAGAAGGAGCATTCACTCAATTAGTTCAGCTTCTTACAGACCAAGACTGCTCCCTATAAATATACCCTGAATTATTTTAGCTAATTACATTGAATTCAAGAAAGACAACTTCCTTCATTATCTTTGTGAAGTCTTTCTACAAACATGAACAATATCCCACTGTTGATAAATAACTTCATCTTTTTATTGAAAAATGTAATGTAATTTTTCCTGTAGGCCATCAGAGATGGAGCTGAGTTCTGTTTAGATGAAATCTTGGTCTCAGTTTATTTGCAAATAAGTCTAAGGAATGGTCTGATAATCCCAGAGCCTGGCCTTATGTCAATAATTCAGGTCTTTACTTTCATGCTGTTGACACTGTGAACTCACTAAAACTTGCAGCCTAATGGAAATAATAGTCAGGGTCACTGATTTCCTACATAAAATACCTGTGTTACTTGATAAATAATATGAGTATATTTTGAACTGTTATGAAGTTTCCTTATTTAAAAAGAAAAATCATGTAAATGTTGGGCAAAAATCAACAAAAACAGTGGAGGTGATTTGGCACCTAAGTTTCAGGAAGGGTTTACCCATTTGCAGATGGATCTTCTGCAAGAACACAGAACAGAAGGATGTTACCAGGTTGTGGGGCTCTTCTATTAAACAGCAATATAAACTACTTTAAACTATATATATAATTGTATTCGCTCATGGTATCTTACGTCAGTCTAAAGAAGGCTTATGTTTATTGGTTACCTCGAACTTAAGCTTAATCTTTTGTTCATGGAGAGCCCCAACTATCTCTCTCTTGCACCTCTGACGTCTCATCCTATATATTCCATTTTGCCAAATCAGGATCCAAGCTGGCTGTCATAGATATGTTTGTCTGTTCAACTGCTTATCATATGCTTCTCCTATTTTGTCACAGTTATTTTACGTTATTTCCTGCATCATCTTACGGTAAGTACTACACTTAGGCCTGTCGCCTTCCAACAAGGATAAAAATCTTGCTTCTGTCTTATGCTATCACTTCATTGAGTAATTTAGATATCTGAGACCTTTGATACTAGCAGTCTATTTCTATGGATTTTAGCTGACAATTTGTTAGCCTTGTGACATAAACACTACAGGATCAACCACATGAAAATTATTAGCGTCTTTCACTTTTTTAGCAGTACTTTAAATGTTGATGAGGAAGACAGAAATTCTAGGCATAGACATAGATCAACAGCTACAGCTAACTCAGCTCACATGAAATGTAGGATTTAGCCAACTTCAAAGAAGGCTAAGAAGCTATACTAGAGAAAAATTTGGCAAAAATATTCAAGTCAGATACACAGATTCTATGTTTTTTATGTCAGAAATTCACATTTCAAGATATAATAAAATTTCATAATTAGGAAAATATATACTGAACATCAGTGTGCAAGCCTTTCCTAAAATCTAAGAAAATTAAGCAAAAGTTGAATAAACTTAACAGTATCATCTGCAAATCAGTCTGCTGTGGCATAAATTGTTCAGTACTCATGGCTAGATAAAGTTAAGACACTTTCAGAGAAGCATGTGCTACTTCTCAGAATCCGTAACAAATAAAATTATACCAATTCTTAAATATACACACAAGCAGAGAGATACACAAATAAAATTAACATAGACAGGAGAGGGCTGCCTAAACGACCTAGAGCAATGCATGAGGAATGCAACAGAAGTGCAGCTAGAGGAAAATACCTGCACTGGGTTTCCTGAAAGAGCCTCTGAAAGTCAGAAAGCAAATGAAATCACCCATACAGTCTAATTCTGCTTCACCTCTCCTCCAAAATTATATGCTGTCATTCTGAAATTTTGGTATGTGATTCATCATACACGATGCACAACTTGATTACAGTGCTCGTTGAATAAATGCCATCTATTAAAAAGGTGGCAACAATTGTCTGTGACTGAACTGAAAATCCCTGAAGGATAATCTTATAACTTTCAAAGAAGTTATAAACAGAAATAAATTTCATGGATGCTGTTCTCCTTAGTCTGGATGGACGTAAGATCCCTCTTCTTTTGTCATGACTTAAGGCCATATCCTGCAGTCCTCACTCAATCTATCCAAGGATGAATTCTTACCAATTTTAAATAATATATTTCCTGAATAACAGCAGCTGGAGATGTGGTAAGGAGTTGTCCAATATCATTACTGCCTAATTAAAGGAAGGAAGATGGAACTTCTAATTTTGTTTTTTACAGAAGATTTTGAAGGACCATTCTTGCTGTTTCCTGTTATTCAATAACCATACCCCCAAAACATATGCTCACATAATGAAGAAGACTGAGAAAGCTTTAATAAAGACTTCAGAGCATCTCTACCTCTCCCTCCCCACGCCTACCTTACCTTTTCCACTATCTCGTAGTCCATTTTGAAAGCCCAGAGCTGGAGCCTGGCCGAGAGCTCGCTGATGGAGGAGAGGGTGAGGAGGAACTGCTCCGCGCTGCCCAGGGGGACGTCCGGGTTGGCCATCTGGGCCTCCTGGATCTTTTGTTTCTCCTCCTCGGTTGGGATCATGGTCAGAATTTTCTAGAAAAGAAGGACAAAAGGCATTAATGCAGGGGGACATGCTTCCTGGTGAGATACATGGGGTTGGGAGACCCAGATGGGAGGCCCAGAAAAGCAGGACGTGATGGTGCAGAGACATTTTGGGGGTAAGCCTTCCAGCAGGGAACTCTCCTGCTGCAGGTTTCGCCTTGACTTCATCTGAGCTCATTTTACACCCTAGTGACTTCTCAGCAATAGTAAAAGTCCTCAATCACAGACTGCAAAATTAGGATAGCACCTTAACCAAGCACATCCAGTACAAAAACACTGCACAAGAAACCAAAGCAAGGCCTATTATCTTGAACATCTGCAGTTTGTTAGTATATATATACATACATATTTATAAAAATACATTTTTACTTATGCGTATACAGCACATATGATTAATCACAGGGTCAAACATTGAAGGAAGATGGGGAGAATAGTTAGGACTGGTTTCCTCAGCTTGCATGCCTTTAAATCAAAACTGGCCACCCTTCTGCAAATTACATATGGACTGAGGGTGGGAGAAGGAGTACAATTTTGTGGCCTGTGATTTACAGTGGGTCAGAATAGATATTAAGGTCCCTTTCAGCCGTAACATCTATGAATCTTTCAGTGCACTCGTGGGTATACAGAAGTAAGTCGAGGCCCTGTTGCAGCTGGAGGGATGTTTCTCGCTGCATAAATTGACAACCCCAGTAAGGGAAGTGGCACGTTGTTTTTTGGAAGGAAGCCTGGAGGAGGAAGAAACGCTGGTCCCCAGAGAGGGTGGAAAGGAATAGCTATACCTACCACGTGATGCAGCAAGAGCTCCTGGCCCTTGCTGTTCTCACCAGTTATTGTTTTCTGTTCAGTTTGTTTTGCTTTTTTAATTAAATATGGCAACTATTTCAGCATATTTGGTCATTCCTAAATATTTCATCTGAATTGAGGACAATTTCCCAAGGAACGTTCATTGACTTTAAAGCTAAGTTATGCATTGTGTAGCATATGGTCTTTTCCCTCTTTTGATCTGACAGGTTTAAAATATTGATGAAAAAGGATCTTAGCATTTTCATTTTCTGCTGTCAGTATTGCTCACAACATTTATATTTTACTTCTAATTCTTGGATTTTACATGCTTGTTTGCATGTGGCAGCTTTCCTTCCAGTTCCTCTCAAAGGAACTGTTTCTTAATGAGCTTTTAACATATTAAATTCATTTTAAAATGAAAAAGAAAACCAAAACAACATAAGTGCATCAGATAAGTTGAGATCTTTACCCTACTGATCAATACCTCATTAAAATAAAGCAGCAGATTTTCAGCAAGACCTATGTTTATTCATCTGAAAAATGACATGGTTTTTTTTTTTGCAGCGTTCTCTAATGATAGAGGCTGTTCTGGAAAGAAGGAGAGAACAATTAAAACCCAGCCAAAGAGCTATCAGCCCTGCCAATCCAAACTACAGTCTGTTCCAGTACTGGACACAGCCAATTCATCAAAGTAGCACAACTGCCCCCTTCCAATACTGATAATTCATCCAGCTCATTGTACAGTGTTGCAGCTAAGTGTGGAGAATAAGGAATTCTTCCCTGGCCACTCTGGTGGAGAACAAAGGTTAGGCAAGCAGATAATGTTCGCTTTGTTGAACTGAGACTCATTTGATTTCAGCAACAGCATTTGTCTTGCTGTCCATTTTCTTATGCCGAGTTCCATAAACATACAGAAAGGAGCATTTCTTTCTGTTAATGCTGGTTTGGCACTCTGCCTTTCAGTTTAACAGAAAAGTCTCCTTGCTTGGGCTATGCATAACAGTAAGACATCTACGTTTTCACCTACGACTAAAAGAAACAGTAAGTATTGAAGTCTGTGAGTTTCTACTTTAATGAGGAACAAAAGCTTACAATCTATTCACATTCTAAGAAAAAAAAGAGAAGGAATATCCCTCAGTACACTTCAGTGCTTTTCCTTCCCGTGTTAATGGCTGATTGGAAAATATTCTGATGTACATCTACTCAGATTGGTGGCATGTGTCGACTGATTTCGAGATGTGCTATCCATCCATCTTTCACTTGGGTCATACCCAAAATCAAATTAGAGATTTTAAGCATCTGTTTCAGAGCGCTTCTCAGCGTTTAACCAAAACTTGTATTTAAAAGTTCAGGGGGAAAAAAAAAAAGAGGCTGACTCATAAATCCATACAAAGAGGTGTTTGGAAGAGAAACCTTAGAAGCTAGGGCTTCGAGTGCCTGTTCCTCTCCGAAACAGTAACAAGAAGCCAGCATCCCTTCAAGTGAGCCAGGGCAGCTTGAAAACAGGATCATATGAACATCCATACATGGAGAGCTCAGCAGTAGCCATGTGATGGATGTGAAAATGCTTCTGATGCATTTTTGAAGGCTAACACTTCAGCAGTATTCTCAGTTGCCTCCTACAAATAACTAGGGCTTTTGGCAGCTGCCCAGGGATCCCACAAGTATTTCTGTGGTGGTGCAGGGCCTTTTCTCTGGAGATTTTGCACTGCTTTCAGGCATTTTAAAGAGGGCAATGAAACAGTAAGCTTTACTTCCAAAGGGACTCTCCTCCTCCTCGAGCTTTATGTAAACACCACAAGCCAGATGGAGCTCACAAAAAGTATCCAAGTCCAAGTACTGCAAGTCTGCTGCGCTGCTGAGCTGGGCACTGTAGTATGTGAAAAGGGGAACGCCAAGCCAAAGAGCCTCTACTTGCAGTGCAAAGATCACCCCTGCTGCTTAAGCGCCGCCTTGGTAGGATCAGGGCTGTTGTTGACGTGCTGGCAGATCTCACACCATCCAGGGTGCAACTGCCTCCACAATAACAGCTTATTCACCACTGCTTTTAATCTGCTCGAGCATATCATTGTTATCCTGCTGATCATCAAGCTCTTCATGTGCTCCTGAGCAAGTAATAAAATGCTCCCATTTTTGATTTGCACTCTCTGACTAATTTGAGCCATTTGTTCAGTGTTGAAAATTGATGAGTCTACCATCTGCCAGTATATTTATTTTTATTATTTTTCTTTTTACACATCACTGACAGCAAAAGTAGCATAAAAACACAGCAGGGCAGAAGGTAACTGGCACTTGATATGACCATTAAACCATGAATAGCTTTGAACCTAATCATTAGCTTGTAACACTGTCCACAGGATGGCATTATTCAGGTAACGTAAAAAAAGAATGGGTTATCAACAATCCCTGTGCTGATACCCTCTTTGCTGATAGAGTGACACAAGGCCATGCGATATACATATTTCATCTCCATGCATTCTCATACCATCCTTTAAGCAAGAGAATAACATTCAGTGTAGAGAGAATAAAAACAATGCAGAAGTCTTCATGGAGAAAAATAAATTATTTTTGGCCATCTCATTCACATGTGATCATAGATCCTAATTCTTTTGCTCCTGCAGTTTAAAAAATACCCCTAAATTTCCGCCCTTCATTTGCTCCCTCTCTCTAATTTCCAAAAATTTCTAAGAGGAATGCTTAGAGAGCAAAATTCATAGGAAACTCAGGGTTGATTTTAGGCACACAAGTTGTCCCTGAAACACTCAGGAAGAGGCTAGATGCCTCAGACAGGGATTCACAGCAGCCAGCAGAGGAAGAAGCAGCTACCTGCACTAACCAGCAAGGCAGATGAGTGAGTGCTCATTCCCAATCTGCTGGAGGGGACATAGGCCTAAATGTGGAATGCAAGGAAAAAACTTAACCAGAGATTATCACTAATCTGGAACCTCTCCAGAAACCAAGTGCTCACACTACCTCTTTTGGGAGATAATGGGACTTCTCAGTGATGACGAGGTTGCAGGGGTGGCTTTTATGTTTTATTTCAGTTGGTTTTGTTGGGAGAGCAGAGCTTACAGAAAAATTGGGAAACTAAATATCTGGCTATATTGCGTCCTAAGTTTTCTGTGGCTCAAGACCTACAAATTCGTAAGCTATATATCCAAATACAGATTAGTGGCTATTTCATCTGATATTTGATAGGCCTCAGCAGGGGATTCAGACCCAAAAATGGCTTTCACACTTTGGCTTCTCAGACACCCAATAATGACACACGTTGGTGGTTTGCATTACCTGCAAAAACTCTAACAAAAGAATACGAAGCTCAGGACTCCACAGTACATACGGCCACCTGCACTAATTTTACTTGAACTCTTCCAAAATGATCTAGTTCTGAAAAGGGACTACATCTCAAATACCTTATAATGATCTCGATAAATCAGAAACCAACAGCTGTTGTTTCATTCAGATTGCTGCACTTCAGCTCTCTACTGAAATACATGAACATGCAACTGCTGTTCAGAGAAACCATAGATGATGTCTTGGTTTTCTGCAGGGAGTGAAAGCTTTTTTCTTTAAATGAAATCTGTGCCTCGCTAGGACAGTGATACACTGACAGAGGACGTGAAGCCAACATGGCACTGTTTGAGTCAATTCTCTCTTCTGTCTACCTCATGCATAAGGTGTTATTTTCAGGTCAAGCTAGCTAACATAATTTGAAACATCCCATCACACTTCTGCAATGTATTAGATAACCAAATTGGAAACTGAAGTTAACACTGTGCCATGGCAAACCTCAGAACATAAACTTAAATACTTTGATTATATCTGAAAATTGAATTTGGGGGTTTTGTTTATAAATGTCACCATCTGCCTTTCTAACACCAGGCTCTCATTCCTTGTCCCTTTTTACAGCTTATGGGTACCTACCCACTCCAAGCACATGGGCTTTAAAGTACACTTAACACACTTGGATGTAGAGGGCCTAGGATACCTGGAGAATTTTTTCATTTCAAATAGTCTTCCTAAAAACTATACCCACCAATGCAATGCAATATTGTTTAGCATCACAAAGCAACATCATAAAGCACAAAGCAGCCCATCTTAATTTTCTCACAGTTTCACCCCAATTTTACTTAGCTAAATTAATCATACCCTTGGCTATAATTCGATTTCAATCTGCAATCCCTTACTGAGTAGCATCCTACGGAGGGATCCACTCATTTCCTTTACTGAAGACAAGCAACAAAGACTGTTCTAGTGGACTATATTGTCCTTTGCCCATGATACACTTCATTAAAATTACATGTCAGGATTTTAAGCTTGGCTTTTCTGCTTAACTTGCAGAAAGCCCTCATCCATGCTAAGTAAGCAGTTCTTTGTTCTACAGTGAGTTCCAAGTTGTTTGAACACGGTGAATGCCAAGCTTTCAGAGAAAGCAAAACAGCCACTTTGGCAAATGCAAGGTGGCAAAAACTTCTTAGTTGGATTGATGCATGCTCGCAAACACAGATTGTGCTTTCCTTTGAAAACATGGTTCTAACAGTGCACGCTCTCTGCAAGCTACACCAGCCACATATGCCGTTCTAACACCAAGCCCCCATTCTTGGACCCGTTCTACGGCTTGGGGTGCCTGACCACTCCAAACATATGGGCTAAAAATACTTAACATCCTTAGCTGTAGAGGGCCTCAAAATACCTGAAGAGTTTTTCTCCTCTCTATTACATATTTTAAGTTAAAAAGCAAAGAATGAATTAGTTACAGCATTTCAAAGTCAAAAGTAACAGCAGCGGTCAGCAGAATTTAGGATAGTAGCGTAGGGTTTACTGGGTCATTGAGTTGGGCTATTGCAAACATGAGGCCTACGTCCCACCGCATCGTTACCTTGTTATCAGTGCTACTGTCAACACTACTTTAGTCCACCGTTCTTAAAAGGCACCGTTTTAAAATACTGTTTGACCTGAACTCGTCCACCAAGGAGCAGAACTGAAGTCAAACATGCACTAACGTGACAGCGAAGATGTTCTTTAGCGAAGGACACAGCACAAACTCAAAGCCAGGGCAAAGGCAGGCTCACATTATACCTCCTGTTGGTAAGCTGCTCCCTTTTGGTTTCCCTAAAAGCGGAAGATGATCCAACCAACCTTGCCTAAGTTATACCTTCTCTGAAATTTTAGCACTGAATGTAAAGTCCTCGCTGCAGGAGTTCTACTGCACTCCTCACACCTCGCTTTTCTGCTTACGAGCCATGATATCTCTTCCAGATGATATCTCTGCAGATAGGTTTTTGAGTATGCACTGTCATGCTGTTTTTTAATTAAACTGTATAATTTTTTCCACACCAGTTCTGTTTCATTCAATGTATAGATTAACTATAAAGTGTACAATATAGCAAATATTTTGCTTTATTCTCTGTAATTTGTATATAAATTAAGTTGACGCTTACAATATTACTGCTTCTTTAATCATCATGACAATTATTTTCTATTATTTAGGAAGTAAAGTTACAGATCAGAAAACTTACTAAAAAATCTGGAACAGAAAGACAGCCCCAGTCCCCTTCAACCTAATCCTAAGGATGATGCCAATGAATAGATGGATACAAAGGGGAAGAGAGGAAAAGCAAGCAGTCAGTTTATCTACAGCGTAGGTGAAAGGGGCAGCACAGAAAACTGCCAGACACAGGCCCTGCTTAAAACAGTGGGACCCATGACGACATGATTCAGTGCCCCTTTCTGCAACTCTTGACCAAGTCTGCATAGCTCAATCCAGCCCTCCATTGAGTGCAAAAGTCTATCTGGCTCTGTATTAACGTGCTCTAACAAAACTCTGTAAATTGGCACTTGGGGAAGGGAATCCGACTGCAATGCAGGGACCTGACAAGCAGTAAATAAATATGGAACTACCCATTGAGAAAAAAATTTGCTCTTTTCTCAGTGAACACAATCCTTCTCAACCAATGAAGGCTTCCTCCCACAAGGTGAAAAGTACTCGGGCCCTGATCTATTTACTCTTTCTCTTGGTTTTAAACACCTGAATGATCACATCAGGATTACTCACATCCTGAGCTTCAAGATGTGGACACAGAATTCAGAAATCCCATTATCCTGACCACTGGGCAAGTATATCAACAGTGTATAATTTCCTGGCTTCTGAATTCTTCAATTTGAAAGCTGCCTGCATTTATCATATGTATATTTTAAATGAAATTATGGGGTTCTGGCAGCTAATGCAAAGGCCACCCAAAGGAGGGTGTGGCGCTACAAGGCCCTCATAAATGTAGACACCACAGGTGGCTGGCAGATGGACGGTGCAGCTACAAATGTTGGTGGCACTGGAAAGGGTGGGCTGTCCAGAGCAACTGAACTCCTCTTCAGTGCACCAGGGAAGGCAATAATTCAAAGATAATGATACTTGCAAGATAACAAAGATGTTTCCTCATCAGCCACTCTACATTGGGCTCTCCATGGAGAGTCTGTCTACCACAGTATGGTCTGACTGGCATGAGTGGGACTTGATACAGGGGGTGCTTCTTTGCAACCCTTGAAAGCTTAGCACTGCAACCTGCTGCGGTGGCTACATGGGGCTGGGTCACAGAGCCACATAACTGCCAGCAGGAAACTCAAGGTTACCATAGTTGCCTCAAATATGAAAATCTGACCAACTGGATAGAAAAAGAGCAGCCTATGTTGAGCTACAAAATTACTTTTTCAGTTTGATTCAGAATATAAGTTATGTATGCATACAGCAAATAAGTAATATATCTTTGAGAAAAAAATTATAATCTAGTTGGGATAATTCAGGCCTTGCCTTCTAGCTAAAACAATCTTTTGTCTTTAAGTATTTCTTTTGCATGTAACTGTTGACAGCTCAATTGCCATACTAGTCAGCTTTTCTCATTTTACTCTGTAGTCAGCATAGGAAAGGTGGAGAGAGCGAAGGCGTGAAACACCGTACCGAACCATTGAAAGGTGATGGTGAATCAACACTGGACCTACGCAGTTAAACACTGGTTGAGATTTGTTAACTGTGCAGATTACACTTACTAGATGATATGGGCTTATTCAAAACTCATTTGAAATCAATACAACCATAGTGAAAAAGAACAGAGGAGCAGCAGGCTTCTTTTACACTTCATAGAAGAAAAATGTTTTGATAAAAAATAATAATAAACAGAGCTCATCTTGGATCTTGGTAAGAATATCTGCAAAGTCAAACATGTAATGGTAAAAATTACATCATCTGTAATCTTTATACCAACTGCTTTACTTCAAACAACAGTAACACAGAACTGCTATTTTGAGGAGAACTAGTCACTGTATTTGTTTTCCATTAGATATACCATTGAGTTCAACAGCTAGCTGGGCATGAACTTTATTAAACCCTGTACCAGTTGCGTCAGCTCTAGAAACTCCCTGCCTGTGCTGTGGTGCTGTATGTCTATGAGGGCGCAGGCAGAACTTGACCTGTGGGTAGAATTTTAATAACTCTAATAAAAGTAACAGGAAACTGCACGTCGGAGGAATACACAATACCCTGAAAACCTCAGTAGGAATTTACACCACTGCTGTTCAAACTTGGATAACAAATTAGCACAGAAATCCACATTTACCAAGCATTTCCAGCCTTGGGTGAACAATGCACGCTGAGTGCACTGCACTGATTTGATGAATTTCGTACCTCAGCAATGACAAATACATCACCTTTTCCCTCTTCCATGAAAAGTCCAGTCCCTATCACATGCAATATTTGAAAAAAATGAAATGTTGAAAACGCAGCCTTGAGCACATTGACTACTCCTTCTTACCTCTATTCCTTCCTTATTTAAGGCATATTCGTCAAAGTTCAAAATAGCAGTCTTGATAGTCCGTGGAGGGGGCAACACAGTCAAGCCAATGTTAATAGCATTGCTTCGTTTCGAGTCCAACACAATGATCTCCTGCCGTTTCCCGTCTGCAGCAGTTTTCTTGATAAATGAGAAAAGAACAAGAAGATTACTTCTCCAGTCTGTTTTACAAAGAAAAAGTTATTCCTTTCAGTAAGGACTTCCTCTATGCTAGGGTGCTGACACTGAATATAAAACTCGTTCATTTACAGTTATCAAAGAAAGCAGAATTCTTCACCACAGACCCCAACCATCCTTGCTGGTGTCAGTGTGTGCTGCCAGGATTTAAGCAGAGAGCTGAAATTAGTCTCTGGTCACGTGCAAGGGTAAAGGATAAAGTCTGAGGATAAAGCATATCATGCATGTGTTACTGTGAGTCTTGGGAACATCAAAGTTCGGGTGAAGTGTCAGTCCGACCATAGGACGAGAGGAGCCGTGGCTGATTAATTGGAGTGAGCCACTGCCAGGCAATGCCGGAGCTAGCTGTGGCGGTGCGCAGAGCACGGCCTGGCAGGGAGAGCAGCGGGACAGCAGAACGGCTCCAGAGCTTGGTTCCCAGTTGGCTGCATGACCCCGCACAGGCCAGTTCACCTCTT